TACAGAATATGCTCGGAACATTCTGTGTTTTTTGCACAGCAACCGGCTAACCTTGTTGAGTTCTGCATATTGTTGCCCATTATAGAAATTGAAAATAAAACAGGAGCCTTTTTAAGCTTTTAAGATTGAGGAGATTCATGAACAAAAATTGCACGCCCAAATTTCCACGGCCAGAAATGGAAATCAAAATTTTCCCCACTATTTTCCCTATTTTTTCGCAATCCTAAGAAAACCATCGCAAAATTTGACCAGAGTGGACATGTTCCGAACTTAAATAAGTTGAGGTCTGCATTGTAGATCCAAACATTTCTAGAAAAAAAACATTTGGTGTATTTAAATTTTCGTGACCAGAAGCTTACATTTCCAGTTTTTTGTAATCGAATAAAAAAGTAATAAATTGCAACCAGGGCTGACTTGCAAGACATGCACGACCAATTTCCAATAAAAACACTAATTTTATTGTATAGTTTAAGCAGTTCATTTATTGGTAGTTGAGGTTTTGATTTTGGTGAACCAAAAATGAGGTATTATATCCTTTATGGTGAAAAGTTTTTGATACTAAATGTTTTCCTTTATTTCGCCTTCATTGTTTTTAAATTCCTTATAAAAAAAACTTTTTCATGATTTATTCACCTTGTTTGCATCTCTTTTGTTCAAACAGAGGAAGCCTTAATTAGAGTAATAACCAAATTTTTTCTTCGTTCGAAAACAAATGTTCTGGAAAAATTTTTCAAGAAGATTGCATTAGAACTTTTGTTACTGCAGCGTAGTTGTATCTATGTTGCTTCGAATCTTTAATCGAGCCAATTCCCTAATTGTTTTTTTCAAATAGATGGTGCAGGCAGAACTTACAACTTTTAGAACCTTTTCTGTGTTTCTTTCATTGTGAAATGTCACGTAATGTGATATTTACACAGCACTTTTTCATCCTAATGCAAAAGTTCTAGATCGGTATGCTTCAAGCAAGAAAGTGAAATTTTTTGCATTCTTAATGCAACAAATATGTTCGTATCAAGGCAAAAACATGAATTTTTTGACTGCTTTTTGAGGTCTATGGAGCAGTGCTCGCTGAAATTATTTTGTAAAGTTTTTTTGAGATATTTTTAAAACTCATCCTGCCACACGCCATATAAAGTGCAAACTGATAGATTTATTTTCTAGAAACATAGAGTTTATGTCAAAGAGCCTGTTTCAAACATTTTGGAATCATTTATAAGAGGGATTAACCCTCTGCGTACGCTTTATGAGCGCGAAAGATATCGCGCGTCTACTTTACCAAATTGGCCATATCTTCATTTTTTAAAACCTCATTTTTTTCAAAAAAAGAGATTATTTTTGAAGTGTCTTTTTAAACTTTCGGCTTATGCATGTAGAATAAAAAACCAATGCTTCCTAGATCCTGAGTCAGAATTTGTCAAGACAAAAAAAACCACCCCGCGCTAAAATATTCCGTCACTTTCATCGAAAAGCGAAACAACAAAATTGCTCGTATCAGAGCAAAACCCTGAAGATTCTGACTGCTTTTAATTTCTACGGAGTAATTTAAAATAAAAAATGATGAAATTCAAAAAAAGAAAATGAAAAAAAAAAACTTCAAAAATTTGTTTTAAATATTTTTTATATAATCACCCCACACGCTATGTAAAGAAAAAAGTGATATAATTTGCATTGCAAAACTAGAGTAAAGAGCATGCCTCAATCCAATTTGAAACGATTTCTTATACAGACTAAATCTCCGCTACGCTTTAATAGCACGAATTATCAAGCTCGTTAATTGTTTCAAGTTGGTCAAAATGGCCATCTTTAATTCCTCATAGTTCTAAAAAGTACGGTCCCAAGTGAAATATTTTTTTAAATTTGAGCTGACGATAGCAGTATCTCTTTAATTGATTATAAAAAAATCAAAATTGCTTGTTAAAAGTCAAAATTTGTCGGTAGATATAAAAAAACCACCCCAAGCAAATTTTCTGTCACTTTCTTCAAAAGTCGGAACAATAATTATGCAAAAATTTCAGAAAACAGAATGATAGCTGATTCCACTATAGCGTTACCAAAAGCAGCTTCAACCAACTCGATTTTTCTTATAGTTTTAGTAATTGTACCAATTATGAAGTAATTGCACGCAATTAATGAGAATATTTACGGTTTGTAGAAACACTAAAAAAAAAGAAAGAAAAAACTATTACTTTACAAATAGCGCAGAATACTTTACTTTTTGCTGTTCTGTTTTGTTTCAATCGACTCATTGAAGAGAAGATTTGCCTGTCTAACAAGCAGAAGTTACGAGCAGATTTTTTAATACTGCAAAAATAATTTCGAAGATCCATTTTTTTTGCAGTCCCGATCAAATTGCGACTGTAAGTACCTCACTGTGGTATATCATTCCTTTTTAAATTACTTTTTTTTGGTGCGTGATTACACGCCAGAGTGAAAGATGCTCAAATTCAAAGTTTCTTTCTCCAATCAATGTGGTCGAAATTAAACATTTTATCTTTTTTGTCAGTCTTAACATATTTCGGCAATCTGGAAGATTTTGGCTCAAAAATGGTTTAAAATTAGAATGTTTAAAGTGTGAAAACAACGCGAAATACGACCAAGACTCATATATCCGCGAAGTTCTTAAAATGATTTTTAATATTCACTTTTAGACAGACAAAATTCTGATCAGGCTAATAGCTCCAACTTCTACAAAAAGGTGATGAAATGTTTGTGCTTGCTGTGGTTTGTTTTCTTGAACTATCGGCCAACTCTTGTCAATTAACGAGAGCTCGTGCAAAATAAAAACACTTCCGGTTCTAGGGTAAGCATCCAATATGTCAAACATGCGAAATCATCTCCTAATTATGTAATAAAATGACGCGCGCGTCTCCGATAACAGACTCTAATTTTTATATAAAAAGCTACCTTCAGCTGGCAAGCTCGCAACATGGTGACGCGACTGCGGAGGTCACTGTCACTTCGGCCAATACATTGTTTTCTAATTGATTGGTAGAAATCGGATCTTTGCGCTGGTAGAAAAATTCAGATGTTTGCCTAGTAAAGCTGTTTTTTGGATGTTTGCAACATTTTGTGGTTCTTCGGTTGTTTGACATATTGAATATTTGTATGGTACCCAGCAGTTCCAATTCTTGCCAATTTTTAGATTTGGGTATATTTGCTTAAAATCAATTACAATATATATTTGTTTAAATAAAAATTTAGGCTACCATTTTTTGGGTAGTCGTTTGCTTTGGTAATTTATTGTTTTTACAAACTAAACCTCAACATGCTAAGGTGTAACTGAAAACAGTCAAAATTTAGTTTGTCAGTAGAAAAATTGAAACCGAAAATAAATATTCCATCTCGAAAGTAAAAAAAATTACATGCTGTTGTGAAAAAAAAACTGTTTTACGAATCGTTTTCAAATTTGTTCCCTTAAATTTGGCTTACTTCAGACAATACAAAAAAATATGAGAACAGAAAGTGCTTTGATTTTCACTTGAGTGCTTTGAGTGCAATTTATCTTTGACACAAAACTAAAAATTTGACACAAAACTACACCCCTGAACGGGTCAAACCCTTTGCTTCAATTTTAAATACCAAAACAGGTCTGTTTTAGGTTTTGTGACCTTTTTTGCATCAGCTGAGACTAAAATTTTGCTTCAAATTGACCCAAACTAAATTATCCGTTTAAAAGATGGGATCAAGTTAACATCTTCCCCCCTCATAGACCAAGTTAAGATCCTCCACCCCAGCGCTTAAATTAAATTAATTTTGCTAAGCGCTGCATGTAAAATGCTCGATTCTGATTGGCTGAAAATTCCCAATTTAGAACCAAGTTAACATCCTCCCCCCTAAACATATTTAGGGGGGAGTACGTTAACTTGGTCCAAAAGATGTAATTACAGCTCAGACTTTTATGTTTTGGTAAAATTCAACGCAATTTTTGTTCTCCTTGTTGAATGTCCAAAAGTAGCCCAATTTCAAAGAAAAAATTTCGAAAATATCAAATTTTTATTCATTTTATCCGGTGATGTTAAATCAGCAGTGTATGAAAATCGTCAACACAAAATGCAGTGAATATTTAGTGAACTGCGCAAAAAATACATCGAGACACAACCCAACTTACTGAAATGTATCAGCAGATATCGGCAAAAAATTTCTAATTATAGCTAAAAAATGGTTTCAATATTTTTAGCATTAATTTAAAGAGAGACTCTTCAAAAAAACGTGCTAAGAAAAATTTGTTTTTCCACTGGGCGTTTAGTAGAATATAATCATTTAAATTAGATTTTCCTGGTTAATTTAAAACATTTTAGATCCGATATTATTTATTAAGAACTGAACAAGATCTTTGGAGGTTTTATTTTGGAATCGTGAAAACTGGAAAGCTGGACCAAAAAAATTGACCAGTAAAAATGAAAACTAAGTTCTTAATTTTTAAATTTTTCAATGATTTCTGTTATTTTTGAGTTCTCTTGTGGTCGTAACATTCTTCGCCGCTTGCACCCCAACCGGCTATTCTTTTTGTTTTTTTTTGTTTTCCTTGAAGTACTTGAAATCGAGCGAAAGCATCCAAGACCGAAGTTTGCTTGCACCAATAAGGTGGTCAGTGGATTTTTTTTCAAAATTCGTAACTTTTTCTACGCAAAATCAGGTTCCACGAATAATCTTCACCTGAGGTCAAGTCATGTATCAAACTACAGCTTATTCAGTCGTGAATTGATTGATTTTTTGAAGTTGGTGCCCAGAAAAAATCCAGCTTAGAGTTTTTGTTTTTTAGACAATTGTAGGACAAAGATTGAAAAGTGAAACCCATTTTTTGTGATTTTGAGCTAGCAAAGCGATGAAAGATTTTCTTCATAATCGAATGGAAGTACGGAATGTTCTGTCCTACTAACACACCAGCCCGAATTTTCTTGTTTCTACTGAATAGGCATCATGGGGCCAAGTTTAGGACTTTTCGGCTAATTTGGTTACATTGACGTGCCAGAACTAGATCATGATAAAGCAAAAAATGATTGAACTGGTCGTTGATTTATTTCAATCATCTGCATATAAAAATGCCGATGGGTGTTATTGTATTGGAGAAGCTTTTCCACAGTTTATTCAATGGTCTCAGATGAATGAAACCAGTAATCGATGGAAAGGTTAGTTTGTTAAAACTCCCTCAAAACTCTTCGAGGTCCTTGGTTCCGAGCATCGCAACCATGATAATCTCGACGAATTGGAGGAATCCGAAGCCAGCTCCGATCCAGGGCATTACGAATGACCAGTCCACTTTAGAACTGGTAGTGTCATCAAGGGTCTCGGAGACGACGTTTGTGGCCAAAGACATTCCAATCAACAGAAACAGGACTGGAAAACAGAAAAAAATATATTTTCGATTGAAATTAAAATTCCAGTTTGAACTAGCGTCCAAAAAATTGAGCAAAAAGGGTTATCTAATTGCGTATCTAAGTTTTTAAGATTACAGTATCTCAGAAATTATGACAAGCCCTTTCATTGCGATATAAGTTTTTGTCTCAAATATATTAGCATCAGCTGAAGCTTTCTGCCATGGTTGTTTCAAAATTGGTCTCAGGCCCCAAGATAGATCGTGTTATCACTCACATGAAATGGTGGATAGTGTGACTAGAATGATGTTTGCCACTTTCTTCTTCATCCCCACTCCGAATATAGCCAGAGAGACAACCAGCAGAAGGGCTAGACAGACCAGGTGACTGGCGAGGAGAAAGAAGCGGGCAGCATTGATCTCCCTCTGCTGTCTGTTGTGCATCACAGTATCTGGAGACCAGGAAAATTATTGACGCCACGATGAACTCAAAAGGAAAGGTCTGTTCTTGTTGCAAAGTTTCAGTACCTTAGTACATTGATCAGAATCTTTTCTGAACTAGTCTGTAAAAAAAGACAGGAAAAAAAAACGTGATTGGAAAAAAGCTTGCTTGTCTCTGAAACATGACATTCTGATCGCCTTGTCACATTTTTCAATCACATATCTAACTTCTGAGTAAAAGCTAAATTTTTTTAAAAAATGTACCCTTTTTTTAATTCTTACATAACTTTTGACTACATAATTTTATTTTCAACCTAAGGATTTTTTCACGTCCCGTCACTTACCAATTTCAGTGCAGGAGGAGGCACTCTCCAAACAGTACTCCCAGATGCCATAGTGGGATGTAGAAGTGTCCACCATGTGGTTGCCATGGACCATGAGAGAAAATCCCAGACACACAACGCTGAAGAGTCCCACTTTCACCAGAAGCATTTTTCGACTCTGTCCTCCAGGCATGTTTTGAAATTGTACGTTTTAAAACTTTAACTTTTGAAACTTTTGTTAGAAAGATGCTTTAATTGTTTCTATAAATAATTTTGTCAAAATTTTTTAAATTTTTTTTTGCTTAGTTTTTTTGGAGTTTGGCAAAGCAAATTTTTTCTCTGTATTTCTTTCGGCGAACGTTTTTTTCAGTTAAAAACGTTTATTATAAAGAAATTGACTTCAGAAAGGATTGGAGATAAGATCATTCAATTGTAGCAGGTGTTTTATTCAGACCTAATTTTAAGACAGTTCGCTAAATTGACATCTTACTTCGTTTTGGACACGTTGGCAAAACAAAATAAGCGTTCATTTGCTGATGGTGAGGTAATTTTGGACTTGAAAAGAGTTTAATTGCAATCATAACTGGAAACTTAACGGAAAATACAAAACACCAAAATATTTTCATCATATTTATGGGAAAAAAATAATTTATTACCAGTCTGGGTAAACAGCTCATTTCTTGGTCGAAAAAATCATAAATCTATGCAGGATTTCAAAATTAGCTAGGTATTTACGTCTCTTGTTTGTATGGCATTCGTTGTAATCGGATAAAAACTTGCAAAAAAAAAATCTTTTTGAACAAGACTTCTTGAACAAGACTCCAAACTTTTCAATTTTATTTTAAAAAAGTTTTTTTTGTACCCTTTTGTACTATTTTGAGACAGCCATTTTTTTGCGGCAATTTATACTAGTTTTGAGGTGGAAGCGCGCCGAAAAAAAGCTACTTTTGCACTGTTTTTTGAAAATTTTGCCTGCGGCGCGCAAAATTTGACCAAAACAGGGTGTTTTTAGTGATTTGAGAGAGCTCGAAAAATCAAAAGGTCGACAAAATTTTCGAAAGTTTTTTTTTGAAATCCGCCCCCCATCCCTCGAGAAAATCCTAGATCCGCCCCTGCAAGGCGCTGTAAAACTACTGCACTTAGATTAACTGAATTCATCTTTTGTATCAGTTAAAGATCAACAGAAAACAATTTAAAATCTGCAGAATTGGATTATGATGATAAAATTTGCTACTAATTTATGGAAAAACTTAAAATGCGATCATTCAAACTAAATGTAAGCTACAGTCAGTTAAATTAAATAAATCTAAGCGATATTTTTAAAGAATGCTTAAGCAAAAAATTGTGGAATTGAATATTTGGCCAGTTACTGAGAAAGCTGCCGATGAAGTAGGTTTGACAGACATTTTCTGTGTTATTTGGTGTATTATATCTGAAACACCGCGTGTTCTAAAGAAAGAATCTAGTCATCATAGTCCTTTTCTCCGACGAAAACCAAGCCCAGGCATTCGATCACTTGCAGGAATCCGAACCCAGCCCCTATCCAGGACATGATGAAGGACCAGTCCAGTTTCGCAGTTGAGTCACTGTCCAGAGTGCCCGCTGCTACATCTGTGACCAGAGCCATGCCGGTCATCAGAAAGACAACTGAAACGACAATATTTTGAGGCTGATTTTTTTTTGGCTTTTAAGTAGAAGGCTAAATGAAAGAATGGATATGAACTACAAACTCCACAGGTCATAGTTCTTTCCCTCTTGTGAGAGAAATATTTTTCAAAAGCAAGGTCATTTTTAATATAGCCCACTTACACCCAATGATAGAAAGTATAAGGACAGAGATGTTAGCCGGTGTCTTCTTCAGTCCCACCTCCAGAACAGACACCACTACCAGCAGAAGCGAGACAATGTACACCAGATGACTGGCCAGAATGAGTGC